CAGTAGGAAAGGAGTTACGACTGGAAAGTCCGGCTGAAGAACCACTTCACCGAAGAATTTTGAGCACTACTGTATATACATATACATATATATACATATACATATATATATACATATACATATATATACTTATACATATATATACATATACATATATATACATATACATATATATATACATATACATATATATATGTCACTTCTTCCTCACTCTGGGCTCCGAGCCCTCATGCACCACCATCCTTCCAAAAATCTGAGAGTGTGTCCAGTCCATGTGGAAGAGAAACAAGTTCGTAACCTGGCTCAAAATTATAGAAACTGTTGAAAAACTCGCGACATATCTACCATAAATTTTCTGAAACGATTAGCAAAGTATATTTGAGAAATGATCAGGGCATGAGAAAACGATCACGTCTGGTAATCACTAAAAACCTTGCTTGACGTAATTTTTGCTGAGATTTGTTTCCGAGCTCCAAGATTGAATTTTTCAGAAAATAACGAAGTGGTATCGGCTCCTGAATGGACACGTTACGCTCTCTCTACCACCACCTCAAGCCCGAGCTTTTGCATTCAATTTAATCTGTGTCCAATACAACTACTTATACAGGGTGTGAGTACTCGTACTCGAATGGCGAGCCATGCTCGTTGCAGTCGATCGCGTGAGCCGCTCACTGCCTTGGGGAAAGTTGACTGTCATGGTGAAAGATTACGGTGACTGCTGCGAGACCACTGTTTCTTGCGTGGGAATTCGGGTATGAGTATGGCCACCCACTTATCTGGTCATTGTATACTTTTATCTATCGCAAAAGCACTTTATGATGTTGTGGATCTCCTTTGTGATAATCTTACTGCCTACCTGTGCTTTTATAAACATTTACAATAAGTTGTATGGAAACACTTTCTGAAAGGCTAGCTAAACACGCTCATCGGAGAGATAGTCAAAACCTTTCAGAATTGCTACGACTCAGTCATGCTAGACTTCCAGAACTGAACAATTCCGAGAACTCAGCATTTCTTTGACATTCATCGTTATATAGGCTACTTTCGTCGCATTGGTTCAGAACAGCCTTCAATACGAATAATTTATGTTAGCACCATAATTAGTGATGGAAGCACCAAAATTAGGTGGAAAATTTTATTAAGCAATGCATAACAAAGTATGAACAATTATATTGGATCGCTCATGAAGGTTTTTGCATAAACGTGCGCGCCCACGAGCAAGAACAAATTCACTCCCACTGCTCGCTTTTATGTCTGACAATTTCGTTACCCTATACTCCCCGCCATGTGATGCTGAAACATGAGACTACGAAATTTTCTAAATAATAACGCAGCGTTTTCAACTTCCACTTACAGTTGTGAGTGGGTTTCAAACGAATGGTTAAGTATTCGTTGCGGGTTGCAGGTCTACCTCACTATGGTTGGCAGAGCCAAATTGTTGCCGGCTCTTTTTATCTACATTTCTAGTATTAACCAAGTAGCTTAGAACGAATAAAAGATTCCGCCTAGATGGATGGTTTTCAAGAATTGGTCGTTTCGGTCATGTTCTTAATAACAGTGTCAACTGAATCACACGTTCACATCCGTTCTGATAAACCACTCGAAGCTCTAGAGGAAGAGAAAAGAGTAAAGAAAGAGAGAAAGGTGGGATGAGAAAAAATGCACACACATCATTTGAAAGAAGCGCATTCGGTATGAAATTTCGGATCATGAACATCGTGTTCATTGGATCCAGCCCTCAACCGACCTTCCCTCAATAATAACAGCTGTATTTTTTGGTGCAAGTATGCAGATTCATGATCTCATGTCTATCAAATTCTGCTAGCACTCTTTCCGCCTGCTCCATACTCGGCGTTATCAGCGCAATGTCGTCTACAAAAAAGAGATGTTGAAGCTAGCGGCAATCCGCCTTCACTACCTAGTGGACCCATTACAAATGACGCATGGTATTCTCGATAATGGCACTGAAAAGTTCGAGTGAGATGGTATCGCCCTGCCAATTCCCTTTTTTCACTTCGACAACGACTTCTCTATAAAAAAGGTAAAGTCCCTTGATTCGGTGATGAATCGCCCTGGAAAAATGGCGCTAGTTTAAAAAGTGCAAAGTCTAGGCACGGCGTACGATTGAAGACATTGTGAAAACCGTTCACGTGCCGCTGTGCTCAACTGCTGTTATGATTTAGCTTAGAATTGAACTCTCTAACAGAACTAACGGACTGAAGAATAAATGGATTTTTTTTACAATGAACTAATTCAGCATTAATATCATTGACTATGCTTCTGATGGTTGTGTCCGAACTTTTTCAGCCGGTTTAACTGCTTTCTTTACGGCATCAGTAGATGCCGTCGCAATAGCTTCATTGAAGAAATCGTCGCTGTCCGGAATTTCCATACGATCGAACTAAAACTTGGAGAATTATCAGTTTGCAGTCACTACACTTATCAAAATCGGTGCTCTACCGCTTCATTTAGCAAAACTACTTACTACTGACCCTAATCGGAAATAATTTGAAAAGGTCAAATGGCGAAGAGGAAAAAAGTTTGAATGCCTCGAACAAAGATGTCCCACGTTTTTGAAGGTCTGCACCACCACGCGTCCTAAACTGCTATTTCCCAAGAAAGGGGAGTAAAATCGCGTGGACTGATAAGAGCTGACAGTATACACTTATATAACGAAACCATTCAGAGGTTGCTGCTATGTTCTTCCATTCTGTTCCCGCGAACATCTTGAAATCATCTTCCCATCGTATACGTGGTCGTCCCACTGGTCTAACACCATAAGGCTTCCATTTCATCAGCCTTACTTCCCACCTTGTCTGGTCTCTTGTCATTAATTTATTCACATAGATCCACTTGCGCTTTCTGGCTTCGACGACAGCGTCCTTCAAATTATTCCTTGTTCGCAGTACTGCATTTGATACCCTGTCACGGAGACGGAGACCCAGCATTTGGCGCTCCATTCGTCGCTGGCATTTTCTAATGCGACCTTTTGCTGCCTTGGTTAAGGCCCACGTTTCACAACCATACAGTAGAGTGGGTAACACGCAGGTGTGAAAGAAGCGTCGTTTAGTCATAGTTGGTGTCATCCGGCACCTCAACAAAGCTCGGGCTTTTCTGCTAATTCCCCATGCAGCGCTGATCCTCCGATTGACTTCTTGTCCACGATCTTGGGGCAAACATACAAGTTGGCCCAAAGGTTGTTTGACATGCATTTGTTTTGCTCGAGTTTACTTTGAGCCCGGCCATCTTGGTCACATCAATGAGTTTATCAAGCATTGCTTGTAGCCCATCGACTGTAGGTGAGCACAGAAACATGTCGTCGGCGTAGGCAAGATAGTCAAGGCGAACGTGATCAATGGGGTAGCCTTGGTCGCGCCAGTCGATTTCATCGAGACACGATTGAAGTGTTAAAATAAATAACAGTGGAGATAGGGAATCGCCTTGTCTAACACCAGTTGTATGTCTATTTCCATCTCCATCGTGCCCAAGGCCAAAAACGATCGTCCAGCAGCATACAGNTTCTGGAAACACATTGACCTCGAAACGGTGGTTTAGTACATTTGCGAGGTCTTCCGCGCATAAAGGTATCAGATGCTTTGTCGCTCCAGATGGGATTCCGTCAGCTCCCGGTGCAGCGTTTCCACGAATTCTCCTACATGCATTACGAAGCTCCTCTGCTGTTATCGGACGTCTCAAAGAGCCGATCGCTGAGAAGACGAAGGGACCATTACGCGATCTGTAGAGGTCGTTATAAAACTTAGTTGCAATAGACATGGCTTCCTGTGGAGTCGTTGTTAGGTTACCATCAGGATATCGCAGTTGGACTATTTGTCGACGTTCATACGCTAACTCATGTCGTGCATGCCTTATCTTCAATTTGTCTATCGCACATTTCATGACTCGGTCGTTGTGCTTGCGGAGATCGTCCGTTAGTGACCATCTAACTTGTTTGCACAGTAACGTGTATAGCACAACAGATATTGATCCACTTGTGAGTCCGAACTTCTGTTCTCTTCTTATTTCCATTAGCGCCAGTGCTCTAGCAAAAATTCGCTCCACTCTTTCCTGCCGTATTTGTGAAATAGCTATGCAATTACACGCAGCCTTCACGAAACTTTGGATGTCGAAGCCATTTGCTGGGCGTGTCTGCGTTGCCACTGCTGCTTGAAGCTTGAGCTTGTCAAAAATCGGAGGTAGAGGTCTTGACTTCTGCAAATGAGCAGGTTTCATGCACATAGACAAAGTTATTCGCACCATCCGGTGATCACTCCCAACATTGCATCCGGAAAGGGCTGACACGTCACGAACGTACTTCAAATTCTTGCACAGAACATGATCTATTTCGCTGCGAGTGTTTCCGTTTGGACTCCTCCAAGTCCACTTTCTTCCAAATCTTTTTTTGATAAATGTATGAGCGATTACAAGATTATTGGAGTCGCAGAACGAAGGCAGCGATATACCTCGGTCATTCCGATTAACAGTTCCAAACGGCCCGCAAGCAGTTTCTTTGTTTCTTGAACGTCTAATGACTGCATTAAAGTCGCCACAAATAATTTCCGACATCGCTTTATTTTTCGTAGTTATCCTTGCAGCTTCTAATTCGTCCAGGAATCGCTCGAACTCGCCATCTTAGCTACAGAGGTCGGGACGTGTACTTGAATAATGCTAAGACGTCTTCGTTTTATAAGAAATTCGGCTTGTATTACGCGATATCACCAGTGAACCGTACACCAACAAGCTTTTTGTTCATACATAACTACATATATAACCCTACACCAGCATACGTGGAAGCACCGTCACAACGTCTACTGTTGTAGAGCACAAAACTAGATCCAAGTCCAGTGCACTCACGATTCGGTCTTCGAGTTTCAGCCAGTCCAATTACAGCAAATCTCACGACCTTGACATTGGCTTCAAAATCCGCGAGCCTCTGTTGAGAGCATAGTCCTCGGACGTTCATGGTGGCTGTCTTCATGTTCTTGCACGGGTGTCGCTACTGCCGGGGG